CTGTCCCTCCCTGTCCAACTGTGGGCATCATTATCAAAATAGTTGCCCTGCAATGCCTCCATATCCCTTCGTTTTGTAAGGCTATATAACCTCCCTCCTGAACCTCCGCACACCCCTCTTAAAAAGAAAGTTTAAAGCCCTCTCTACTGCCCAAGTTATTCGATTCATTACAGCTTAGTTCATAGTGAAGCCCGTCTGACCATAACTGCAACCTCCTACCCCAGAACTGGTGCTAGTATGCCTCAAACTGAAACCAATCCCTCACATACCAATTTTTAAACCACATAGTTAAGTACTTGAGTTTATTTACCGAATGCCAGTTTACCCTCAGCTCAGGTAATAATTCTGAGATTATCACCTCCGAGCTTCTCTAGCTCTTAATGGTTCAAAATCTTTCAGCAGAACCCCCTTTCCTGTCCCTTCAATGTAGTTAGAAAAAACATGAATTATAACAACTGCGCTCCTCTGCTCCCACTATAGATTCATCTCAAGCCCCGAGGAGAGGCTTTAACTCTAGCACCAGGCAGGTGAAACAACCTTCAGGACTCACGCTCATGACTACAGAGACAGTATCTATCCCATTAATTATGGTGTCCCTACATTCCCTGCAGTTGGTTAGCTAAATTAGCTGGCTAGCTGGTTTGCAATGCAGAGTGATGCCAACAGTGTGGGTTCAATTCCCTCACTGGCTGAGGTTATCATGAAGGGCTTTCCCCTGGTATGAGGCACAGTTACGCTCAAATTAATCTCACAACCAGTTGTTTATCTCTAATGGGAGAGCAGCCCTATGGTCCTCTCAAATTATGTGGCTTTACCTCTCTCCTTTTTACTACAATCATATTTCCTTCACCCACTTGTCCACATAGCTTTCAAGAACCAGTGACAGCTGCCCCTCGGCTCTTCATACTTGCCTCATCTACAATCACACCCTCCTCTCCTTAATCACAGAAAAATTTAAATCACCTAATCTGAAGGGTGGGACTTTCTCCCGAGCAAAGCATCCAGGTAACTTTCCCCCTCTCTCTGATATGATGCTATGTCTTCAGCTCCATCTGAAGTTACTCAAGCTGCAAACACTTGCTATGGTTTTGTTCACTGTCAATCACCATGGTATCCAACAGCAATGGCATGCTGCAGCTGCAACACATCACCTGCCCTGCCATCTCAATTGTATTCTAATTAGTTACTAAGTATATTACTCTAGTATCCCTATTCTTTACACTTGAAGAATGCCCATTCTTAACACTTTATTGGAATTTTTCTTTGTTGTTAACAATGATATTTTGCTTTTACCACTTACGTGCCTTCAGTAAGTCTGGTGCTTCCTCTGATTCCACTATGTCCAGGTTCAGTCCTGAATTCAGCGACTGGAGTTGAGGAAACTTGCTCTGTGTTCGGCCTGTTGGCTTCAAAGACATGAACAGTCATACCCTCATGCCTTTCGGCCTGCTGAGAGTGTGATGCCCAGATGCAGGCTTACCCTCCTAATCCTGAACTTCTAAAGGTTTTGAGATCACAGCAGGAGGAGGGGGCATAGTGTGAGGAGGCCAAGCCCCTCTCAAATGTCCTGAGAAGAAATATCTAGGAGTCCTGTGTATCACTCTTCTTCTATCTGGATACCTTTTGGTATGCCCTTGTCTTGCTGAGAGGAAGTGGAGTGAAGTCATATGTCACTCTCGCTTTGCCATTGAACACCTAAGTCGACAGCAATAAAATGCAGTATTAGATAAATATCTAGCAGAAACTAGCAGAGTGCACTAGGCCTGGCTGTCCCTGATGGCTGCTTTGTTATTGTTATCCCTAAAGTTATTAGGGATCGGTGGAAGCTGTCAGCTGGTTGGAATCATGCCTAGCACAAAAAAAGATGGTAGTTGTTGTTATCATCTGAATCCAAAGACATCACTGCAGGAGTTCCTCAGAGTAGATATTTTCTAACCAAACTGTTTAGAGATGTTATCAATCAACTCTGGACCAGATGGGACTTGAACAGGGACACTACCAGTGTGATACAAGAGCCCATCTTTTCAATCAAATTCATCGGACATGTTACGAAACAACTCTAGAGCAAATAAGGCTGGGCCTTCTAACAGTGCATCACAAAATTTCTATTTCCTCAGGGATCAACCTTTAATTAACTTGTTCAGATGTGTTATATGTGCCTCTGGAGCAGGTGGGAACTGAACCTGCTTCAAAATGGCAGGTTTGAAGCGCCCTGCAGCTGCAATACATCACCTGACCTGCCATATCTATCAAATTCTAATTGGTTGCTAATTATATCACTCTAGTATCTCTATTCTTTACACTTGAAGAATCCCAATTCTTAACACCTTATTGTAATTTTCCCCTTTTCTTTAACAAAAGTAAAAGGTTATTTCCAATGATATTTTGTCTGTACCACCTATGTACCCTCACTAAGCCAAAAGAGCCCTAAGGGTAGATACTTTCTAATCAATCTGCTCAGAGATGTTATTACATACTTCTGCAGCAGATGGGACTTGAGCCTGGGCCTTTGGATCAGAGATAGAGTCACTACCATTGTGCCACAAAAGCCTTAAGAGTATCGACCTAGGTCAAACCATTTACTCCATTAATGACCTACCTTCCATCATAGGGTTAGGAATGCATGTATTTCCAAGTGATTGCACAGCAGCACCCATGACTCCTCAGACACTGCAGCAGTCCACATCATAATGCATAAAGACCTGGCCAACATTCAGGAATGAGTTGACAAGTGCTAATTAACATTTACACTACTTAAGAGACAGGCGATTACCATCTTCAATAAGAAAGAATGTATCAATCTACACTTAACTTTCAACATCATTACCATTATTGAATCATTTAATATTGACATCTTTAGTGGTTACCATTGACCAGAAACTGAACTGGACCAGACACACAAATACTGTGGCTACCAGAACAGGTTACAGGCTAGGAATTCTGTGGCAATTAACTTTCCTAGTGATGCTTTAAAGACCATCTTCCAGCTACAAGGCACAAATCAGAAGTGTAATGGAATATTCTCAACTTGCCTAGAAGTGTGCAGAAACAACACTGAAGAACTTCAATACCATCCAGGGTAATGAAGCCCACTTGATTGGCTTCACATTCAACACATTTGACATTTACCTCCTTCACCACTAATACACAGTGGTAGCAGTGCACACAATTTACAAAATGCGCTGCAGAAACTCACCTAGGCTTCTCCGACAGCACCTGCCAAACTTGTAATCTCTACCACCAAGAACAGGGTGGTTGCACTTATTCATGTAAGAGACAGATCTAAAAAATTTTTTTCTCACTCAAAGAGGTCTAAAGAGCACATTTTGGTAAGTTAAAATTTGGCCCAAAGTATGAATTTAAGTAAAAAAGATCAATATCAAGGCAATAAACATGACCATTAAACACTGTCAAGCAGCAAAGCTAACCAATAAGAAAAGTTTGCTTCTTTGCTTAAGAAGCAGAAATAGAGAGAGACAGACCAAGAACCCGAGCATGATAACCAGGGAAAGGGAAAAGGACTGGTTAAAAATTTAAGCAGTTAGGTTTAACTAACATTTATCTCGCATTTGCCTCTGGAGGCTTACATTATTAGCTGGCTTTTGTGAAATTTATAATGAAAATGGGGGTCAGAACTTGGTTGCCTTTTGACCTGACTTCTTTCCTGTCTTTACCCACACGCAGAGAGGATCTTGCAGGAAGTGAAGTGGAAAGGTGTGTCTGTGCATGTGTTTGTGTGTGTGTGTGTGTGTGTGTGTGTGTTTGACTCACCCCTGGTCTCAGGGTTCTCACTCACACACACACACACACACACACACACACACACACACACACACACACACACACACACACACACAAAGTGAAAGTCCTAACATTCTATCTCATGAGGTTTGGACATTTAATTAATAATGAAGAACTCCTTGCAAATACAGGAAGTTCTTCTAGAATGTGATAGTTGCATTCTTGTGTGACCTCACGCTATAGAAAGATCGCATTGTAGAAATTCGCCATAGAAAATCGCGTTATAGGGAAATTGCTATAGAAAATTGCTACACAGCAGAAAGTTCGCATTATCCAAACAGCGTCCACTATTCATCAATTGTGTTATAGCCAATTCCCATTAATGAAATACGCGTTATAGCAGAACTACCTGTATGTCACTTTCAGTAACCCATATTTTCAACAGTAAGTCTACAAGCTGGATTAACATGTACGACCAGCTGGATTCTGCGCCATGGGCCATCTGTTGGACAAACATGACTGTGACAATAAAAATCAATCAATCAATCAAAGAAGGACAAGACCAGCAGACACATGGAAACACCACCATCTGCAAGACCCCTCCATCCAGATTGTAACTATATTAGCATTCTTTCACTGTTGCTGGGTCAAAATCATGGAACTTTCTTCCTAACAGCACTGTGGATGTCCCTACGTGCCAAGGGTTGCAGTGGTTCAAGAACATTGCTCATTGTCACCTTGTCAAAAACAAGCAAGGGACAATAAACGCAAGGGTGGCCAGTAACATCCACATCCCCTGAATGAGGTAAAACATACCTAAGGACATCTCAAAGCACTTTTCAAGCTAAATAAGTATTTTTGAAATGCAATTACAGTTGTAATGCAGAAAAAGCTACAGTTAATTTGCATACAGCAAGTTCCTGTAAGTAGTAATGTGATAATGACCATTGATCTGTCTTTTTTGATGTTCATTGAGGAGATAACTCACCTACAATTTTTCAAAATAATGCTTCAGAATCTTTAATATCCATCTAAAAGAACAGATAGGGTTTTAGTTAATATCTTAAAAATAAAGCACATCCAACAGTGCAGCATTCCCTCAATACCTCACTGGAGCATCACCCCAAATACTTGTACTCCAGTCACTGGGATGAAACTTGAACACATTACTTTCTGACTCTGTGCTCAAACTAAGCCACAGCTGACAAGCAAGCCAAGCTTGTTTTGATTGGTATGATAATTATGCACAAGAGACAGAGTTTGAAACATTGTTTCCCTTTATTAGTCCAGTGAGGTTGATGATAACTGCACATTTAGAAAAAAAATTACAGTAATTCTGTACAATGGTTCAACCACACTTTACAGGTAGAAGTGTCAGACAAAGGAAGCTCACATGGATGTTCCTCCTCACATTTCCTAGTCAGTACAGTTCCATCAACTAATAAATCATCACCCACAAACCTAAAAGCACAGTGTCCTCAGAATTTACTTAAATTAAAATTAATAATAATTAACTGATATAATACATTGCTATTCTATTTATTGTACAGAGCAAATTTACAATCATTAAAATTCTCATCACGTTTGCCAGACAGGACAAAACATCATTACCCAAGTTATAAAGAATAGCCATGAACTAACATTAGCTACAAATGCACACTTTCACTTATTTTGTTCAGGTTAGCCACTGCTACACGCAAAACTATGAAATACTGTAGTAGCAAAAGGTCAGAAATTTAACACACAGTAAGCATTTAAAGAAGCTGGGTAATGCGCCTGCCCTCCACTTCAAAACATGATATGCTAAAGTTAGATTTTTAAAAATAAACATTTATTGCTTTTTTGTATTTGTTTTTACAACCTTGCTATTACAATAGAGGAGAATATTCAAAATCCAGGGAAGAAAATGTAAACCTCAGTTTGGCATCATGTGATAAAATGAGTTAAAACACCTGAAATGTGATCTAATAATAGTCTGAACAGAGATTAAAAAAAAACTAGAGGTACCTCAGGTAATGAATGACTAAGTCAAAAACTTTTATATTGCTATTAGTTCTTAGTTACAAAGTTGAGAACTCAGTTTAGCAAATATATGAAGACAATTTTCCAATGACAAATATTAGAATCTCTCAATACAAATTAGTAATGGTCAAATAAACAAAATGCCACCTGCTAGAGCCTGAAGCTAAATTAGTTTAAATGAATAGCGTAATTGGGATATGTTGGTGTTGGGCATGATGGTGTTAACATAATGCACAGGAATCTTGTCTCATCTGTTTTCAACAAGTTTATTTATCTAGGCTTCAGTGTCTTTAATTTTCCTTTAAAATAGATGGCATTTACGGGACAATGTTATCATGTGTTATCATGAGTAAACTTCTCATATTTTTCTCCTGATTTAGTAACTCATATTTAATTCAATGTAAAGGACAAAAACTAAATCAGTTTTAATGATTAAACATAGTCATGGGAGTGGTGACGTGATTCATTTTCTAAGTTGTTCAGTTGCAAGTTTATTGTAAAGCTACCTAATGGGAAATAAGCATTGGTCCATGTGTTCGACAGCCACACGGACAACTTTTACCCATTTCAGCTTTGCACCTCTCCAAAATTTTAAATCTAACAGTGTACACTAGTGTCTAACTTGTGGTTACATTCTTGATTTAATTATTGAAAGGCTGCATTTACAGTGCATAGCTGTAACAAACAAAACATTATTATATTTACACAAAATAAAAATAACTCATTTTAACATTAGTAAATTCGTAACTACATTTCAGCATTTAGTAACTAAAATATTTGAAACACCCCAGGGTATTTAATCCCAACTCTCATCAGTAATGTAACACCACATCCAAATGTCAGATAAAATGCTGAACAAGCTGCATATTCCACCAGTTAAGTTATTGTTTATATATGTGTAAAAGTGTTAACTTATCAGAACATTTCAATTTTCTTTTTGTTAAATATCTATCAAGTTTCCTCATACACTGCAGCAACTGTGTTCATGTAAACTTCTTTTATACAGAGTGTAAAGAGGGATAAGATCCCAAGATGATTAACGCAAGTTCTTTGATGGTAAATGAAAGGCTGCCTGCAAGATTCTGCAGCTTCTTTCACGAGTAGCACATTTGGTATTTGTTACCTACGCAGGCTTCGCTGGGCTTCTTTCAGCAAGGTGTCAAAATCCATTGAATCATACTTGCTTTTAGTTGAAGCAGGGTCAAAGTCATCTGAATTGGGGTCTGTAACAAAGCAGCTATGTCTCATTAATCCTGCTTTTCAAAAGGTATAAAATCAATTAGTTTTAATACAAGTAGGTGATGAAAGGTTAAAAAAACTCAAAGTTATTGAGGTATTTTGGACTTAAGAGACTCAAGACTCTTGGTAAATAAAAACTGACCTTGTGCATTCAAAAGAAATACAATTCTCTTTTAAATCACAAGGAACTGGGTTAAATCACTCTAAAAAGGTTGATCCAAGCGTAATAAACAATGTGCATGTATTCTGTTTTTCATAAACTCAGGTAATTTGTGTTATTATTTGTCTCAAATTTATCTGTTTTTCAATAGCACACAATTAATAGTGGATCAAATCCTTTGAGTATTGTAATCACAAGTTTATGGATTTAAGTTCCACATGGCTGTTTCTAGTATCCAGAATGCTTGTATTTTCCCATTGAGCTTCACATTAATTTTGTATGAACAAGACATCCTGGAAGTGAAGTTAGCCAATAGTAATAGCACAAAATGGCTGATAGCGAATTGACAGCCTGTCCTTTACCACAAAAGGAAACCAAGTGCAGCATAAAATAAATTACCAATTTGCACTCAGACTGTTTGTACTAACATTGTTCACCAATTCCACTTGATCCATTTCTAGAGGAGAAAAACTGAAATAGGTCAGTTTACTCTATTAGTAATGGCTATTCCATCAGACAAATCATGTATGACAGAATTTTCTGCTCCCTTGAGCACTGTGGGAAATGGGAAGAAATGTGTGAAAACATGGTGAATTAAAACGAAAGTACCTTGAATGTTGAGAAAAAAGTTCTAATTTCCCCCTTAAGGTTGAAATGGCAATTTCAGAATCTCACCAATAAGATTCTGATTTAGTTAGTTCCATGTATTTGCATCTCATTATGAACTCATCTCATCTCTATGCAGTTCCCAATTTTCCAGTCCTTCACCAAGAAACCAGACAAGGCTGATTAAAAACTTAAAAATAAGAGCTGTTACCTAACGGCAACAGATCATTGCTTACTTTCGCCAGGCCTTAATCTAACTCTGTCTTCACCAAAGCATCCCTGCATTCTGAATTCTGAAGGATCACTGGGGGCCCGAAATGTTTACTCTGCTTCCTCTTCACTGATGTAGCCAGACTTGCTGAGCTTCTCCAGCAATATATATTTTTGTTTTAGATCTTCAGCAATCCCTCTCCCTTTTTTTTTATTATCCCTGTATTCTCCAAGGACACTATTCCCTTTCACCCCTTCTGCATGCAAGTTGACATTGGCTAATCTTTGACTTCATCACATCATCATAACTAATTTTAGACCAACTCAAACACCACCACAACCCTTTGTGAGTTCGCTTTGGAGCTCAGGGGCACTTACAAACTGCATGCTTCTGCTAGGTCACTTTGCACACAGAGACACTGACATATTATTCATCAAAACAGGATGTATTTTTGGCTCTTAGTTTCATCTCTTTGTGCTCATTCACTTGTGCATATTTTGAGGCTGCTGACCTCCATCTAGTTCACATTACTTTCTTAGCGCACAGTCACTGACTTCAGCACTCACGGAGGAACTGCTGCTTCTTTGCAGCATTCTCTATTCTTCAAAATTGAAGCAGACAAAGGATGGATGTCTGGATGCAGAGGAATGGGGGATTGACATCAAAGTTTTGAGGATGAAGAACATGGGAAAGACCTGGGAGAGACATCCAAGAGAGCAATAATACAGCAATACACCTGTCAAGTGCAAGAAACTAGTGAAAACCTATTTAATACCCATTTCCAGGAAGAAATAACTGACTTTACTTGTGTAACTTGATACTGATTATACAACAATGCAACCAACCCTGTATGAAATTTCAAGTGGACCTGGTTATTTTTGCATTCCTTGTACTTGGCAACTTTGGGTGATCCCACTTTCAAGTACCTACACTTTACAGGTCCTATTCACTGTTTGGGAGAAAGTAGCAGTCAGTGAGGCAGGACACTAACATTGCATAGTGCTTAGGTTAGGTCATTTTTAAGACTTTAGTCAGTATATGACATTTGCGTATTGTGCAGTGAAGCTTATCAAGATAAACAGCAGGCTGCGAGGTATTCTGAGGCTAATTTTTTGACCCTTCTCTCAACAGTTAGCCTTCAAAGTTTCAGAGTTTGCAGAGACTGCTAAGCAGCCTTGAAATGTCTCAGCATCATGGAGGACAATATTTAACAAAAAAGAGGCACTTTGTGCAGCTTTTCTCTGCAGACCTACATGCTATGAGAGAGAGTAAGCATATGAACTTGCCTTGTACACCTCAGTCTTGAATGTCAGTGCACTCCCTTGAAAAGATGATAGAATAAACCTTTGCCATTGGTGTTGTGGCATATAATCACTAATTCCTTGCTGTGATTTACAAGGTGGGAATAAATGTGGAAGATGAGTGCACGGCAGGCTCTAGCATAATCCCTGTACAATTTTATTTCAGTGTTGCCCACATTAAAATACAACACCTTGACTGCAGTCATCAATGTTACAGTTAGAGGATCCCTGATGTCTACATGGTCAACAGTTAATTGCTTGTGAAAAATGAACAATGCTTGGCCATTAAAAGTTCTTTCACCCTTTGGATGTTTGAAGAGGCATCTATTCTCCTAAATAAAAACTGAAAGAACTGAGGATGCTGCAAATCAGAAACAAAAACAGAAATTGCTAGAAAAACTCAGCAGGTCTGGCAGCATCTGTGGAGAGAAATCAAAGTCAATGTTTCGGGTTGAGTGACCATTCCACAGTTTTAACCTTTAATTCCATGCAAGTGAATAGGTTTTGAGTGGGTTAAAATTAGACCCTTGAACTGCATGACTGGGAATTCATTAAGTTAAAAGGAAATGAATTCCAGCCAGGAAGTAGACACTGTGGTGTTACACTGGTTTCGAGGTAATGTGCCGACTTCATCTGTCATATTGGAGCTAGTTCAGGATCATTCCTAAACAGGAAATTCAAGCATCCTAAATATATGTGCATTCTTTTGGGTTAATGATGATTCTTCTATAACAAACCATTAGGTTGAATCTTAATTCCCAGAAACAGTTGATTGAAGTCACGCTAGCTAAACATGTAAAACATCTGGAACAGGAAGTGAATCCACCTTGAAGTCCAAGATTCCTGTTGGATTGCAATGAGTTGCCAATTGACATTGATTAACACTTGTCAAGGCTTTTCACTGATTTCTAACTCATTTCATGTGATCTTACCAAACCTGCTCATCAAATTAGGCATAAGGAAAACCCAACATGGAAACCAGAGTTAGTGTTTGGCGAGGTGAGCTTGCTGCTTACTCCAAGCAACATCCATGTTGGACACTGGGTACCAACATTTCTGGGCACGCTCCATGTGCTCCAGCCATACATTCCTTATGTCCATGGGTACTGCATCTGACATGTGCCAGCTTCTAAGCACCCTCATACCACATTTCCAATCCACTACAGGACTCTTCTGCACTTCAGTGGTGTACCTTGGGCTGTACCAACAACTATAATTGTATGGTTGCTGCAAGACCACTATGTGCTAAGGGACACGCATCGAGCTCATGGACAGGGCCAGGCCGCATCTCTGGGCTCAGAGTGAGTGAACGTTAATGACAGTGAGCTATCTGAATGCTCACAGCATTTTCTGCCTGGTAATACCTTGCCTTTTTTTGCATTTTGTCCCCTCAGCCAGAGATAGCTGACTCATATTACTACTGTTCTACCATGCAGATTAATGCGTATACAAAACCAGGAGCCTTGTAACAGCTGTTAGTTGGACTCAGTAAAGTCAAGGGGAGTACTTTTTGCACAGAAGATCTGGGCACATCAATGCAAGGCCACCTCCAACAGCAGTCCAGGATCTGCTCAGGGCAGTCAGAGTCAGGATCCTTCCTCATAAGGGTTGGGAAGCCAAAAGACAGGCAACACAGAACTTGTCTTGACTCATTTTGCCCTACTATGGACTGCCTACCTCTCAAAATGAGAGAGACAGAGAGAGTTACTAGGGAAGATAACAATGGGTGGCCATGCTGTTTGTGCAGGTGGAGAGGCATCCCAAGTGACTGAGTAGGCAGCAGAGGGGCTGCAGGGTTTGTACTGTGGGTTGGGCTGGGAGAGAGCAAGTGAAAAGATTTTGCAAGCAATGGTGAGAGTGGTAAAGCATGAACCTTGGTAAGAGGTGGGTACGTGGATAGAATTACCAAGTTGGAGTAGGTACAGAGATAGAGTGAGTGTGAGAGGTTGGAATGAAGGTGGCATTTACACCAGTGGAGTCCATTCATTTTCTTCCTGTGATGATGGGTATTCCTTCAGATGGCTGAGACCGCTTTATCATGCTTACCTGCGTGGTAAACTCAGATGAGGTTGACACGGTCCAACGTTGTGTCCTCTGCTGCTGGACCTGGGGCAAGTGGAAGTGCTGCCTGTGCACCACGCTATTAGCAGAAACTCCAGGAACCTGACCATGAAGTAGTGTGCTGATTTCTCCATCTGCCATGTTCAAGATAAATGTCAGGATCCGTGCAGGGCAGCTTCAACTGACAATATTTGTCTGGCTGCATTGCAGCCTTTTAAAATGGCCCCTGCACCAAGGACATCAGTCAATTCCAGACATCGGTGAGTAATAGGTTTTTTTGGGAATGGCGCTTGGTAAGATAGAGTACAAATCTGGTGTGATACATGCCACAGAAGTGGAAAAGGCAATTAACATAGCAAGTTGGGTAAGATTCTGCAAGAACTCTCAGGTGACGTTTCAGCAGGAATCCCTTCAACAAATTTGTTACAACTTGCATTTAGCCAAAAAACCATAAGATTCATTTCAGCTTGTTAATGCTGAGATTCCCTATCCATCATATATCATCACGATTCCTTTCACTTCTTGTGCTACTGATACTTATCAGTCTTTTTGGGTAGCTGTAGAAAATTGCTAAGTAAAGTCTGGCAATTGTAGAGAAACATCATAGATGAATAATTTGCCTGATCACTTTCATAAGAGCAGTTA